AGAAATAATGACAGAAGACATCTCTTACTTGGGAAAAAAAAAGTCACACAAGTCCAAGAAGCACAGAGAGTGCCAAACAAAATGAACCCAAAATGACCTACACCAAGACACATCATAATTAAATGGGCAAATATAAAACACAGAGAAAGATTCTTAAAGACTGCAAGAGAGAAATAGAAAGTTACCTACAAGGGATCTCCCATTAGAGTATCAGTGGTTTTCTCAATAGAAACACATCAGGCCAGAAGGTAATGGCATGAAGTATACTAAGTGATAAAAACCAAGATACTGAATCCAACAACACTCTATCAGCAAGGCTATCATTCAAAATTGAAGGTGAAGTCAGAAGCTTCGGACAAAAAAGGTTAAAGGAGTTTATTACCATCAAACTAGCAATAAACAAAATGCTAAAGGGACTGTTATAAAAAGAAGAAATAGAAAGGGAGGGAGGAACACAGGCATAAAAAATAAAAATGGCAACAAACTAGTACCTAGCAATAATAACCTTAACTGTAAATGGATTAAATGCTCCAATCAGAAGGCAAAGGTCAGCTGAATAGATAAGAAAACATGACCCATATGTACGCTGCTTACAAGAGACTCACCTCAGAACAAAGGATTCATGAAATCTGAAAGTGAAGGGATGGAAACATATTTTTCAGGCAAATGTAAATGAAAAGAAAGCTGGGGTAGCAATACTTATATATGACAAAAGAGACTTCAAAGTGAAGCCCATCACAAGAGATAAGGACAGCCACCCCGTAATACTAAAAGGATCGATACAACAAGAGGATATAACTCTGGTAAATATATATATATACTCAATACAGGAGCATCCAAATATATAAAAAAATACTTCTGGAGGATATCAAGGGAGAGATCACAGCAATACAATCATTGTTGGGAACTTTAATATCTCACTGACAAAACTTGATAAAACTTCTAGGCAAAAAAAATCAAAAATGAAACAGCAATCCTAAGTTACATGCTCGATCAGATGAAACTAACTGACATCTTCAGAACATTCCACCCCAAAGCTACAGCATATACATTCTTCCCAAGTGCAACAAGGGACATTTTCAAAGGTAGACCACATGTTAGAACACAAGCTAAGTCTCTACAAATTCAAGAAGATTAAAATCATATAAAGCAATTTCTGACCACAGTGACATGAAATTAGAAATCAGCTACCAGAAAAACACTAAAAAACAATCAAGCACATGCAGGCTACATAGCATGCTGTTGAACAATGAATTGGTTACCAAAGAAGAAGTTAAAAGATATCCTGGAAACAAATGAAAATTAACACACAACAATCCAAAATCTATGAGGCACAGTGAAAGAAGTACTGAGAGGAAAGTTCATAGCACTACAGGTCTACCTCAAAAAGAAGAAAAGCTCATAATAAGTTATCTAACAGAACAACTTAAAGAATTAGAAACAGAACAACAAGAAAAGTCGAGAGAAAATAGAAAGTAGGAAATAAATGACAGAGTAAAACAAACAAACAGAAGAAAACCAATACAAAAGTTCAATAAAAGCAAAGCTGGCTCTTTAAAGGAAAAACAAGATTAATGAACCCCTGGCCAGATTCACCAGGAAACAAAGAGAGATGACCCAAAATCAGAAATGAAAGAGATGAAGTAATAACTGACCCCACAAAAATACATAGGATTGTAAAACAAAACAAAACACTATGAACAACTTTATTTCAACTAACTGGACAACCTAGAAGAAATGGACATACAGTAGGGCCTTGACTTATGAGTGTCCTAACTAACGAGTTTTTTGAGATATGAGGCGTCTCTCAGTCAATTTTTTGCTTTGAGATGTGAGCTAAAATTCGGGTTATCAGCTAGCTTCAGATACCCCACCGTTGGTTGGCGCAGCGAACATCACAATGAACACCACAACATCAGCCCAGCATCACGTGTCTCACTCATTCACTTTTTGATTTGACATACGAGTAATTTGAATTACGAGTCCCATCACGGAACGAATTAAACTTGTAAGTCAAGGACCCACTATATTTCTAGAAAAAATACAACCTTCCAAAACTGAATCAGGAATAATCAGAAAACCTTAATAGGCTGATAACTACTGCTGAAATTGAAGCAGAAATAATAACAATAAAAATTTTTAGCAAACAAATGTGCTGGTCTAAATAGTTTCACAGGAGAGTGTTCCCAATGTTCAAAGCAGAAATAACACCTATCCTCCTCAAACTATTCCAAAAAATCCAACAGGAAGGAACATTTCTAAGCTCTTTCTATGAAGCTAACATTATTCTAATACCAAAACCAGATAAAGAAACTACAAAGAGAATTACAGGCTAATATCACTGATGAACACAGAGGCTAAAATTCTCAACAAAATTTTTGCAAAATGATCCAGCAATACATTAAAAAGATCATACACCATGACCCAGTGGGATTTATTACCGTAATGCAAGGCTGGTACAAATTCATAAATATATAAATGTGATGCAGCACATAAACAGATTGCAAGACAAAAATCACACGATCATATCAATTGATGCAGAAAAGCATTTGACAAAATACAACACCCTTTTTTTTTTGATAAAAACTTTCAGCAATGCGGAAATAGAGGGATCATACCTCAGGGTAATAAAAGGCATGTATGACAAACTTACAGTCAATATCATATTCAAGGGGCCAAAATTAAAAGCATTTCGCCTAAGAATAGGAACAAGTCAGGGATGTCTGCTTTCACCACTCTTATTCAACATAATACTGGAAGTCCTAACCATAGTGATGAGACAAGAAGAAATATAAGGCAGCCAACTTGGAAAGGATATAGTAAAACTCTGATTGTTCACAGATGACATAATACTGTACATAGAAAACCCTAAAGCCTCCACCAAAAAGCTACTAGATTTAATAAATGACTTTAAAAATGTAGCAGAATACAAAATTAACATCCCAAAATCCGTGGCATTTTTATACACTAATAATGAACTCTGATAAAGAGAAATTAAAAAAACAAACCCATTTACCACTGAAACAAAAATATTAAGATACTTAGAAATAAACTTAACCAAGGGGGTAAAAGAACTGTACTCAGAAAAGTACAGGATGTTGAAAAAAGAGCTAGAGAAAGATATAAACAAGTGGAAGAATTTACCATGTTTATAGATTGGTAGAATCAACATCATTAAAATGTCCATACTACTTAAGGCAATCTATAGATTCAATGCAATGCCTATAAAAATACCAACAGCATATTTCACAGACCAAGGACAAACACTCCAAAAATTTATATGGAACCAAAAAAGACCCCAAATAGCTGCAGCAATCTTGAGAAAGAAGAACAACGTTGGAGGGATCACAAGACGAGATATCAGGTTATACTACAAAGCCACCATACTCAAAACAGCCTGTTCCTGACACAAGAACAGGCATATAGATCAATGGAACAGAACAGAGAACCCAGAAGTCAATGCAAGGCATTATGCTCAATTAATATTTGACAGAGGAGGCAAGAAAATACAATGGAGGAAAGACTGTCTCTTTCATAAACAGTGTTGTGCCCTAACCAGTTTGACTCAGTGGATAGAGTATTGGCCTGCAAACTGAAAAGTCCCAGGTTCGATTCTGATCAAGGGCACATGCCTGGGTTGTGGGCTCGATCCTCAGTGGGGACTTGCAGGAGGCAGCCAATCTATGATTCTCTCACATCATGGATGTTTCTATCTTTACCTCTTCCTTCCTCTCTGAAATCAATAAAAATATATTTAAATAAATAAATAATGTTGGGAAAATTGGACAGGTACTTGCAAAAAAAAAAAAAAAAAAAAAAAAAAAAAAAAAAGAATTAAACTAGACCACCAACTTACACCATACACAAGAATAAACTAAAAATGGATAAAAGAGTTAAATGCAAGATGTGAAACCATAAAAATCCTAGAAGAAACTATAGGCACCAAAATCTCAGATATCTCTTGTAGCAATATGTTTGCCAATACATCTCCTAGGACAATGGAGACTAAGGAGAAAATAAACAAATGGGACTATATCAAAATACAAAGCTTCTGCAGAGCAAAAGAAACCAGTAACAAAACAACAAGAGAGCCCACTGCATGGGAGAACACATTTGCCAATGACACATCCGATAAGGTGGTAATGTCCAAAATATATAGAGAACTCATACAACTTAACTAAAGGAAGATAAACAATCCAATTAAATTGGGCAAAGAGCCTAAATAGACACTTCTCTAAAGTGGATATACAGAAATCCAAAGGACATATGAAAAAATGCTTAAAATCACTAATCATCAGAGAGATGCTAATCAAAATGACAATGAGATATCACCTCACACATGGCAGAATGGCTATTATCAAATCAACAAATGCCAAGTGTTGGTGAAGATGAGGAAAAAATGGAACCATAGTATACTGCTCGTGGGAATGCAGACTGCTGCAGCCATTATGGAAAACAGTATGGAGTGTCCTCAAAAAATTAAAAATGGAACTCCCATTTGATCCAGTGATCCCACTTCTAGGAAAATATCCTACGAAAATCAAAACACTCATCAGAAAGAATATATTCACCCCTATGTTCAAAGCAGTGCAATTTACAATAATTAAGATTTGAAAACAGCCAAAGTGCCCATCAGCAGATGAGTGGATAAAAGCTTTGGTACATTTACAACAAGCTTGTCAAACTTGGGGCCCGTGGGCTGCATCGCCTCGTTTAGTTGGCCCCTGTTAGCCTTGAGTTTGACATGCTTGAGTTACACAATGGAATGCTACATGGGTGTATGAAAAAAAGAACTCTTACCATTTGCAACAGCATGGATTGACCTGGAGAGTATTATGCTGAGTGAAATAAGCCAGTCAGTGAAAGAAACGTAAAAAAGCTGATGAACAAAAATAGACCCAGAGACATAGAAGCCTGGAACGGACTGTTGAACCTCAGAAGAAAGGCAGAGGAGGGTGGGTGGGAAGAGATCAACCAATGAATAACCCGTGGACACAGACCGTGAGATGGTGAGGGCCTGAGGGGGCAAGGCGGTGGCGGGCTGGAAGAGGTTAATGACTAAAAAATAGGACTTATGTAATACTTTCAGCAATAAAGATAAAAAGTAAAGAGAAAGAATGAGTATAGTCTAAAAACCCAACAGCCACCACTATGTTGTGCTCTATGGTCACATACACTTTCCCAGCATTCTTGGGAGGTAAACACCACTGTCACTTCCTTTTACAGATGGATAAACTCAGACACAGAGTAGTAAAGAACATGTCCAAGGTCATACAGTTAACAAAAGGTATAGCTACTGCCCTAGCCGGTTTGGCTCACTGGATAGAGCATTGGCCTGGGGACTGAAGATTCCAGTCAAGGGCATGTACCTTGGTTGTGGGCACATCTCCAGTAGAGGGTGTGCAGGAAGCAGCTGATCGATGCTTCTCTCTCATTGATGTTTCTAACTCTCTATCTCTCTCCCTTCCTCTCTGTAAAAAATCAATAATATATATATATTATATATATACATAATATATATATAATATATATATAATATATATAATATATATATATTTTTAAAGGTATACCTACTTTTTTTTTAATCTGTAAAAGGTAGGTGCTCTTTTAAAACACACACATACACACAATCACAGTAATATTATCTCATCTCACCATTACCAGTGATTCTATATAATAAAAGCCTAATATGCTAAGTTTCTGGTTGGCCAGTTGGCTGTTCAACCAAAGCATAATATGCTAATGATATGCTAAGACCCCTCAACGGCTTGCAATGATGTGCACTGACTACCAGGGGGCAGATAGTCCACCGGTCAACCTGTTGCTATGATGTACACTGACCACGAGGGGCAGACGCTCAGACTGGTAGGTTAGCTTGCTCTTGTGGTCCGGCCAATTGGGACTGAGCAAGATGGGCTGGACACGCCCTGGAGCCCTCCCATGTTCCCTTCCTGGCTGGCCAACCTCCCGTGTCCCTCCCGAACCCTGATAGTGCACCATTGGGGTCCTTTGGCCTGGCCTGCGCCCTCTCACAATCCAGGACCCCTCAGGGATATTGGAGAGCTGGTTTTGGCACGATCCCACAGGCTAGGCCAAGGGACCCCACTGGTGCATGAATTCGTGCACCGGGCTTCTAGTTTCTGTATAAGTTTCCTGGCTGGTGTTGCATACCCAGCTGCCAAAGTGCAAAACCAGGACCTGGGTCCTGGCTCAAAGGCCACCCCACCTCTCTGTTTTAGTGGGACAGGCACAGGCACACTTGTCCCACTCAGACCTGGTGCTGCACCTATATCCAGGGCCCGGCACCCTGTATGCTGCAGGAATGGCTCTGGTGACTCCAAACCTCATAGATGGGGAGATGGAAGATGCAGGACATTCTTACCTTGACATGTGTTCTCACTTGCATTACTAAACTTTGTTGCCCCAGAACCAGGCCTGTATCCTGGTCTGCAGGTGCAGTAGTAGCTCCCCTTCGTGTTATGGCAGCGTGCATCTTTTCCACAGGTCACTTTCACAGGTTGTTCACATTCGTCAATGTCTGGAATAAAACGGGGTAAAGGGTCACCTCCCAAAGCCATGAGTGCCCTCAGGGCAGAGAGCCTGGTTCCATACCTAGCATGGAGCCTGATGCTCAATCAGTGTCTTTTAGGAAATATTCAGACTCTCAGGCAGCACTGATGGGCTGGAGCAAGCCATTCCTGAAATCCACTAAATAAGCTCTGCCCTGCTCAGCTTTCTGTCTGTCACCTGGATTTGGATACAGGAGGAGGTGCTGAAGTGGTGGGTGGGTGGAAGCTCTGCATCCCTCTACCCAGTCTTGGAAGGGTAAACTGAGGCATAGGTTCTGGAGCATAGTAATGATCCCTCCTTTGGAAAAACTGCTGTTTGAAATTTTCTGCTATTTTTAGATAGTCCCTTGCTCTGTAAGTCAACTATGTTATTTTTAGATGGTCTCTTATTCTGTAAAAATAACTAATTTAGTTTGAATAATAGAAAAGATAAACTTAATTGTCTGAACTTGTATGCTAGCAATCTAACATAAGGGACGGATACGCTGATACTGATGCCAGGTATGGTATAGATATGTACCCAGGATTACAGGTGTCTGTATAGATATTACAGGTGTTTGCTAGATATGAGATATACTCAAGGTTACAAGCTGTCTGCAAAAATAGTTTCACAAGGACCTGAAAAAAATATAAAAAGAGAATGCTTCCTCTTTTGGGTGTTCAGAATTTGACAGGGGTAATCTGCTCTGAAACTGCGCACAATAAAGATGACTCCTAACTAATTGGCTCATTAAGGCGTCTTGTCCAGCTCGCTGATTAGTGATACAACAGTTCCAGGGTCCTGGAAACCCAGCTCCTCCCTCTGTATGAAGCCATGTTTATTCACTTCTCATTTTCCACCTTCATATCTTTTTCTTTCTCTTTTCTCTGTCCTTCATGATGGTCTGAGAACAAAGGCTGAGGCCACCAACTACCATCCTGTCTCCATGTAGCCCTCCACCACCCCAAGCCTCTGTACCTTCACAAGTCTCCCCTTGGTTGACTTCATTCTTTCCAGATGGAGATAGGAATCCTGGATCACAGTGACAGGCAGTGCCACTGACACATGAGGAGTCTGGAGGGCACTGCTGGGGACAGGCAGAGACTGTGGGACGGAGACCATGGTCAGAAGATGAAGGCTGAGCCAGAGGCTGGGGAGGGGTGTTGGGAAGGGCAACCCTGAGCTTTCTCCTGCAACAGGCCTTTCTCTGGCTGGGCTGAGAGGTGCAGGTGGGGGTTGGGACTCTGACTATGGACAGAGTTACTCCCAGCAGACTCACCCCTGGTGTTCTGGGGTCCATCTTCCAACAGAATCAGCAAGACACACAGCGCTGTAACAGAGAGATGGAGGGTCAAGGGGACACAGAACAGGGAAGGGACGCCTGAGGGTGACACATCTGAGGGAAGCGGCTGCTCACCCCTCCCAGGCTCGGGCTCTGTCCATTACTCAAGGAGAGAGTGGGCAGGTGGCACCTCCCTGGCCTCCAATGCCCATGGCCAGAGGGTCTGCACCCATCGCCTGACGGTGGCTTTCAGGAACTGAAGGATGGGGAGGGGCCTGAGCCTGCCAGGGGTCTTGGTTTCTGCTGACCTGTGGGAAGGAATTCAGGAAACATACTGGAGGCAGGTGGCCTTGGTTCTAATCCCAGACTTTGGTAAGGTGCCTCAGTTCCTCAATTTCCCCTTCTGTAGAATGGGGATGAAGAGGGGGCCCATTTCCTAGAGTGTGAGAGTTAAGCAGACAAGTACTGCCTGGTGTGTCAGAGTGCTTACTGTCGTCATTTCTTTATGTAAAAATGAAGGGGTTGGGCCAGGTGTCCTCTCAGATCTCCCAAATCGAAGGTGCTCCAGCCCACACCCTTCCTCAGGGACACAGGTGCAAGCACACTGCACCCACATCTGTCCACCACAACGACCAGCTTGGGACCCAGTGGTGACATTTCACACCCTGGCTCCCTGCACACAGGAAGATGCTGGGGGCTCATGTTAGGGGTGGTGCTGCATGGGCCCACCAATCCTGCTCTTCCTGTTGCTCAGGGCACCCCATGCCAGGGCATGTCCTGGGGGTTCTCCTTAAGTCAGCAGAAGGTCTAGAGATGAGGACTCCTTGCCATTCACCAGAGAGACAGACAAGGAGACAGAGATGGATAGAAAATAAAGAGAGGAGAGAGAGAGAGAGAGAGAGAGAGAGAGAGAGAGAGAGAGAGAGAGAAGAAGACAGAGAAATGGCAAGAGAAACAGAGAGGCAGAGTTAAGAAGACAGTGATCTAGAGAGATGGACAGAGAAATAAGGGACTGCTAGAAAGGAAGAGACAGGTGCCAGAGATTAGATGGAGAGACATGGAGAGATAGAGAGAGCCAGATAGAGAAACAGAGGGCAAGGGAGGCAGGGCAGGTGCGAGTCACTTCCTGGGCCAAATGAAGGGATAACTCATGGCTCCAAGTCCCCCATGGAGGGGCTCCCAGTCCCCCATGGAGGGTCTTCCAGGGGAATTTTGGGGTTGGACATTGTGAGCACAACTTGAGGAGCTGTGGAGGGTACAGACTGGAGGGCCCCCTGAGCACTCAGTCCCAATGTCCAAGCTTGATACCCCTCAGGCCAGCAGAGGGCAAAGCCCCCCACACCCTCCTGAGGCCCTCACAGATGCGGTGAACAGGCTAGAACTCCTGTCTTCCTCCTCTCTGGCCACAGGGTTTGGTTAGTTCTCCCTTTGGTGGAACCCACTTCCTCTTTGTAGGACAGACCACAAAGTGACCTTCCCTGGCAGGGTGGGTCCTGGGCCGATTGGTCCCCAGCTCCCAAAGCCCCAGTAGCACCATCCATGCTCACAACTGCGCCAGGAGACA